CATGGTAACAAGTTGTGCAAATCAGTGCTGGAACTGCAGCCAAATGATACAATTAGAGCTCTCGTTGTCAACAAACGATCATGCAAATTTGTTCTCTCTGATATAAATCAATGAGGAGACATGACTAAGCATCTATTAATATGAGTTTGGAGGAGGGAAAATGCTGCTGCATGTTTCCTAAAGTTCCCTAATGGGGAAAAAACTTACAGTAGAATAATACAGAGGCTATTGCAATCCATCTGTAGCTTCAACCGTTGAGCTAGGAATGGGTGAGATCATCTTATGGCCCTCTGATCTGACTTCCACCTTTCTGGGAGGGCAGGTACCTTCCAGGGTTGACATGGGAAATTTCCTCTGGTAATACCTGCTGATAACTTAGACATTTCACAGAGGGCAGGAGTCTGTTACCACCTTGGCTCTTCAGCTTCAACTGTATCAGCTTGTGCTTTTAGCTCTGGAGCTGCATTTCTGGTGAGTCAGCCAAAACGGCGACTGTCACACTAATGTCCCTTATGGCTAAGGCTGGGTCTTGTACTGGCGTACTCCCTACATCAGTGGTTTTCAACCTTTTGTCATTTGCGGACCCCTAAAACATTTCGAATGGAAGTGCAGACCCCTTTGAATTGTAAGTGTGGGTATTCACACTGTTGATTGATCATAGTCATCTTTCACAGCCCCCTTAGATATAGTCCGCAGACCCACAGGGATCCATGGACCACAGGTTGACAACCCACTGCCTTACAGCAGTGGAGGCACCACCAAGAAACTCCAGCTGGGTTCAGTCCTGGTGGACCCACAGTACCTGTCAGTCTCTGCCAGCAAAGCCTTTCCATGAGCAGGAACCAGGTGCCAGGCAAACTCATTTGATGACCTTTTTTGTTTTTAAATTAATGACGAGAGGGGAGAAATTGCCACTCATCTGTGTGATCAATAAGGAGGAAAAAAATAATCAAGCCCCATTTCTCACACCTCCTTCAGCTGTTTGACTATTCACAGATACGGTTTTATGAACTGCCATATGCCAAGGATGTTATGACTGTTTTATAGCCTCTAATTAGAAAGAGGAATCAAAGTGGAAAAGATGTATGAATATTTGGAGCTCTTCACTTCTTGCTTCCTATGATTCTCTCCTGTGACATCTGCAGGGTTTCAGGTTCACAGATCTTCCTCTGCACATGATCGTGCAGTTCCTCACAGAAAAGCCCTGGGACTCAGTTATCACCTTTTTCAATTAGGTTGCTTGACACACACGCAGTCTGACTCCTGCCAGGTGAGTTAGGCCCAGGCTGAGTAACGCAGAAGCTGTGATTTACAAAACGGGAACTTGAAGTTAGCCCCTGTGTCCTTATTCTGACATCTCAGCCAACAACTCTGGTTGGCCAGGGAGGCTGAGCTCCCAGCAGCTCCCAGTGAAGCCAGGTTAGTTGCCAAAATATGAACTGGAGAACCTCAATAGAGTCACCCTCTTTTGAAAATCTGTCAGCTCATGCTGTCTAGCACCCCTGCACGTTCATGGAGTCAACAGCAAAACTCCCATTGATTTCCCCGGGCCGAGCATGGGTTTGCCTACAGCGCACTGGCAGCTTGTCCCACAGCAATGCCCAAAGGCCCTTACCCACTCCAGCACCCAGAAATATTTCCAGGAGACCATTCCAGGGTCCAGCACCCCTGAAAAGGCCCCCTTGCTCTGGGTTTGGAGCATGGCAATGAAATGGGTGGGTGGGGTATGCTTGGGCACACTCCCTGCCCAGGACATGCTGCCAACACATGACGAATAGGTCCAAGGAGGTGATACTTCCCCTCTATCGGGCACTGGTGAGACCACAGTTGGAGTACTGTGTGCAATTCTGGGCACCACAATTCAAGAGGGATGCGGATAACCTGGAGAGGGTCCAGAGAAGGGCCACTCGTATGGTTAAGGGCCTGCAGACCAAGCCCTATGAGGAGAGACTAGAGAAACTGGACCTTTTCAGCCTCCACAAGAGAAGGTTGAGAGGCGACCTTGTGGCTGCCTATAAGTTCATCACAGGGGCACAGAAGGGAATTGGTGAGGTTTTACTCACCAAGGCGCCCCCGGGGTTACAAGAAATAATGGCCACAAGCTAGCAGAGAGCAGATTTAGACTGGACATTAGGAAGAACTTCTTCACAGTTCGAGTGGCCAGGGTCTGGAACGGGCTCCCAAGGGAGGTGGTGCTCTCCCCTACCCTTGCAGGGGGTCAGACTTGATGATCTATTGAGGTCCCTTCCGACCCTAACATCTATGAATCTATGAAACACAGTGCAGTCAGACCCCAAAGTCCTGGCTTCAAGGCAGTAGTGCCAGGATGAAATACTGCAGACCCTGCCACATGCGGGAATCTATTTTTGAATCAGATGACCGGATTATTTTCATTCCGAAGCTTTTGCCTCTCTGACAGTGATTTTGTTGGCATAAATAAAAAACAACCCCCTCGGTCTTCATGAAGAGTTTGCCCATCTGACCCACATGCTGCCATGTTCACGGCTGCACTCTAATATCACAATAACCGGATACAACCCAGTGCCGCTGCAGACGTCAGCCTTTTATCTTCTTCTCAGTGACCCATTTCTGAAGGACAAAGCTCAGCTCCAGCCACAGGGAGGGGAGGAAGTGAGCGTGTTCTCATGTAACTAAAACATCTCTAAATGGATTCAAATGCAATCAGAACCATTTCTTGTCCTCTGCTCATTAAACGGGCATCACCACAGGAAACCCAAGCTGACAGCAACTTTGCATGTCAGCCTAGACTCTTCAACAGAGAGCAGCCGACGTTTGCCAAGAGAGCAGGCCACTCATAGAAGAGAAGAGACCTGCAAGCGTTTGGAACATCTGCATATACATTAACCAAAGGATAACCACAGACTCGAACCCTTTCTTTGGGAGACTGGTGGGAGATGTGGCTGGTTGGGCTGGATCCTAGACTCGCTGCAGCCGTGTTGCCTGTAATGCTATGCTCCGTTACCTCAGCTGAAGATCTGAGCTCTTTCATCCTTACCGCTGTTCTTTCACAGACTGCCTGCTGTTAGTCATAGCTTGCTAGTCCCCGGTGGAACTGCAGAATATCCTATTTGAAATGTTGCCATTATTACTGCAGGGCCAGTGGATACTGGGAGCTTTGCAAGCAAGCTGGGAGATAAGCTCTCCATCCCAAAGCACATCTGGTCTAATAGCAGACTTTGTGTCATGAATGCCGATGCTCGAGTTGATCTGGATGCTCGCGATGTGCACCTGCTCTCTGCCCTCTTCTCATTGAACTGTGTAATTTATTGGCTAGAAAAGAGCTCATGAGCTGCTGCTCTCCTACCTGCTATGATGTGGAACAAGCATCAGCCTATGTCTGATACCATTGGTCATGGATCGAGATGGGATGAAAGGGGGGATGAATGGCCTGTACCATATAATCTCCTTTAATGGGATTAAGAAAAATACACCAGGAAAAATGCCCAAGTCCCTTAGCTCCCTTGTAAAGCCTGTTTTAGCTTTTGAGAGGCAACAAGGTGAAGGTAGTTGACTGATGTGTCTCCGCACGCGTGGATTTTGCTACACCCTGTTTATGACTCCCGGTTCCATCGTTACCCCTGTGCGTTATCACCGCGAGGCCACCCGTTGCCAGGAGAAGTGCAGTTCCATGATGCAGCGAAGCTAATGAAAGAAGAGATGAATCCCAAACAGGAGCAAGGAGTCCCAGCAGAGTGCTATCATCCATTAACAACAGCTAGCAGCTAGCCTTGGCGGGCTGGCTGAGCTCAAGGGGGTTGTACTGGGGGGTGGCATGCTGGCTGAAGGCAGCACACTCAGAGCTGTTGCACTGTTAAACACCCAGTCTCATGCTCACACATTGCCACTTATTTCTGTTGTATTGAGTCCTGTTCTATCGTGTTTCACTCCACGCTGGTAGCACAGAGGAGTTTCCCCTAGCGATGGGCAGCACACAGGCACAGACAGAGGAAACCCCTGTCCTCAAGTGTTTATAGCTTAAATAACAGGCATGGAAAGATGGAATTGCCTTCAGGCTCCTTGGTGCCTTTAGTTCACTGTGTCCCCAGCATGTCCTGAGTGTGCCCCATCCTCCCACTCCCACTGTCAGGCTCTTCAACCTGAAATTGCACAAGCAAAGGTAGGACCATCCCCACGGACAGCTCTTGAGACCTCGGTCTCTGCTTCAGGGTCATTCCCACCGCCTGCTTCCAAGCACACCAATGTCACAGCCATATTCCTGGATTACGGGGCAAGCAGGGCATGATCAGAAGTGTCCTGCCCTGGATGTGCTGGGGATACAGGACAGAGATCCCTCTGAGGTACCCCAGTCCCGCTGAATGTCAGTGAGACCTGCTGCCAAATCACCCGGGTGCTTGGGAAAATCCCAGCTGAGTAGACCCTTCCTCGCTCACTTCCCAGTTGATTGTATCCACTGGGAGAAAGCGTGTGTGTGAGATGCCCTCTGTTTCCCCGGCACCCTTTCACATAGCTGTAGGAGGCTGTGTTTTAATAAAGCCCCTTAGTCTTCTAGTCTTACAAACAGCTGCGATGCATGACCCTCATCACAACATGCCCTCCACACACCAACAGCAAGAGCCTTCTGCCAGGTTCCTCTCCCCTGTGGGTGGCCCATGTTTCTGCGGGGATCAGATGTTCCCTTTCTAGTGCGGTGGCTTGGTGCCACAGTCTTAGCTGAACTCTCAGTTATTAGAGAAACGTCTCGTCTCCAGCCTTATCATCAAAGTAGAAGCTCCCTTGACAGAGACATGCAGCGATCTGACTTAAAAGAAGGCACAGAAGTGAATCAGGAAATAATCTTTGCCAAGTAACCTCTGTCTGAGCCGGTTGATGTTCAATAGAAAAAAATAACGGATGTGCCTCTTTGTTTAATGCCAAGCCAAGGCTCTCGTGGAGTCTAACCTCTCATTTTACTTCCTAAACAACATATTACATAAGCCCCCCTGGATCTACCTGATCTTTTGCTTCTCTTTCGAAAACAGGCACGCAAGTCCAGCTGGCCTCTTGCTGACGGCTCTAGTGGCAATTTCCTATGCAGTGGCAATGCAGTACGAGGGGTAAGTAGCTTTTCAAGAGCAGGGGAGAAGAATCGTTGGAAAGTAGCTTGTACTCAGGCTTTCAGGGAATTGCAGCGAGTGGTTTTTCCAGGTAGTGAGGATTAAAAAGCAGGCTTGGTTCTTTTCATTTGCCTTGAGAGCAGGCAGCTTCCTGTTGTAAAAAGTTTGCAAGGCGCTAGGTTTTGTATTGTCTTTGAAGTGGAAAGCGGGTGTTTTTATGTTTCTGCCTTGGATCGATCCACTTCAAGAAGTCCTGGGAAGGTGGTGGGTATTCTCTGGAGGCTCTGTGCAACAGAGTTGGCATGTGGCCCTTCCACTTCATGGCACCTCTGATGCTTTGCACAGGGCTGGATGTAGCAGCTCGGCACTTCCTCCAGAGGCACCTATTCTGCTTTAGGTGCATTTGAAATCTCTAGCACTGCTAAAGGGGGTTGCAAAGGACATAGAGGAAAAGCTGAGCCTCTCCAGGGCATGAAAGAGAGGCTGAACATTTGGGAGAGGAGAGTTAGTTTATTAAAGGCTTTTTCCTGCTTATTTTTTCTTCCTTCCTTGCTTTTAATGTTGCCTCAAGGTAGAGGAAAGGAGTGGATTCAAAGGGCTGCTTTTCAACTGTGGCCAAGCTGCATGTGGCTTGAGTCAGAGCAGGGGTGCACAAAGGGGTTGAAGAGCCCCCGCTGTGTACTGCCTTCATCCTGTCACAGCTCTGGTTGGAGCAGCCTGGGGGCTGCTTTCATCTACACCAGCCATGTGTGGTCCAAAAATACTGGAAAGCTGAGGATTTGCACGGCTGTCACATCTCGGCTGCCCTCTGCTTTCCCTGCTACACTTGCTGCCATTAAGGGATGGTGTAGGAAGCCTTCTGCCAGCTGTGTGCTGCCAGAGACTCGCCTGTCCCCTGGCAGGGATTGGGATCCATCTGGGGACAGTCAGCAGCTTTTAGCCCAGAACGTGCCTGTGTTATAACCTGGCTGCCCTGCACCTGAGAGCTTGACCTAGGCCCTGGCCACTTCAGAAAGGGGCTGTGTCTTCCTTCCACACAGCCAGGCTTTGGGGTATCCCTTGGCCACGGGGCACTCTGGGGAGCTGTTGCTTGAGATGGAGGCATTGTGGAGACCCTACAGGCCAGGGGCTCTGGGAGAGGTTGGTTAAGGCTTGTGTCTAGCTGTCATTCCTTCATCACACACATCAGCAGACATGGCCTCATGACCCATCGAGGGAGCCGGCAGCCTCCCCTCCAACCATAGCAGTGTTGAGAGCCATGCAGCCTATGTCCCCTCAGCCCCCTTCTGGGAGACGGGAGGGGCAAAGCCTGAGGCTAGCTCCCTCACTCGTAGCTTGTAAGCTCAGGCTAACAGAGAACCCTGGTCACTGGTCAGTAATTGCTCCTCCACAACCCAAGCCCATATATTAGGGGTCTCCAGACCCTGCTGCAGCCCAGCCGGCACATAGGGGAAAGCCCAGCACTGCAGCATAGTTTCCGAACAGAGTCACTGATCCCTGCATCTTAGGAGGAGACAGGAGCAGAGATCCTCTTATCAATTTAATGGCCTGTGGTTGTCTCTTTTTCTCTTGACCTTCCCTCCCCTTCCTCACCTGCCTCCCACACAACAGACCTTTCACGGAAGAAATCTATCGACAGAAGCAGAAGGCAGCGAAGAGCAAATAGCGAGAGGTGCGTATGCAGGGGATCAAGGCAAGAGCGAGGGGCATGGGATTTCAGTGGGATGGTTTTCCGGGCCCTTAATAGATGCAAGATCATTTGATGGGCCAAGGCAGGGGTGTCACACTGGCAGCTTGTGGGCTGTGTGCCCACAAGGGGTCCAAAGGAAGCCCACAAGCCCCAGCAGCTGCATCTTCTGCTGCTGTGTGGCAGGAAAGGGCCTAGGGGGTCTGCCCACCACTGGGGGTGAGGGGGAGCACATGGCACGCCAATGTTGGGCCGCCCTGGGCTAAGGGCTCAGGCTGGCTTCTCAGTCCGCCCTTCCCTCAACCTTGTCTTTGCCGGCTCTTCCCACTCCCTTCCTGTCATTCTTTAGAGAGTTGAATGTCAAACCCCCACAACACCCAGCCAGGAAGGTTTATTTTTCTACCATGGGTTTTGCTCCCACCTCCTGGCATCCAGTCGGCTCCGAAGTGAGCACCGCAGAATTGTTTTTGATTACAGGCTCGAGAGTGGAGGTGAAGTGGGATTAGCAGGGAACATCGAAGTGAAACATTTAATCTTAGCCATGTGAGCGAAAGCCCTGGCTCTATACCTGGGGCTCTCAGACACACGAGCTACCGGTCTCATGGGGGGCAAACTGGTCTGCAACCAGACATTTTACACACGGAGACCAGGCAACAACCGGCCTCCCGGCTCCGCTGCCAGTGGGGATCGGGCTGTTCCACACCTGTACTTGTGGCTGCCTCCATGAGTCAGCTCGATAAGGCCTCCTTCTCAGACACCTACAAGCTCCCCTCTAAATGTGGCTTAGTGCTGGGGTGGCCAACCTGCAGCATGCATGCCACAAATGGCATGGGCAGCCTCTGTGTTGGGATGTGCCTGCATGGGAAGGGGTTAGGCAGCAGAGTGACAGATAGGGTAAGGAGTGGGAAGCAGAGCAGGGAGAAGAAAACAGCAGCAGATCGGGAAGGGGATCAGCGTGACGCTCAGGGAAGGGTGGGGTTAATTGGTGGCACACCTATCAAAAAATGGTCAGCCCCCACTGGCCTGGCAGCTGCACACAGCTACTGGGATTGCCCCTCTCTCTAGTGGTAAATGCGCTGCTACACACATTTAGGCCAGGGGTTGCCAGTGACGGATTTAGAGGCCTCAATTTTTGGATGCTGCATTTGAAACGCCTTAAAGGGACCCAGTTGTCCTACAGTGTGGAGCCCCCGTCCAACCCCAGCAAAAGGCCCCTCCGAACCATAAGTCAGCTCTGCTAGCACACAGTAAGCAGGACTGAGTTCAGCGACCCTGGGGCTACTTCCGTCCCTGCGGTCCAGTTGCCACGTACCGTATGTGATCTGCAGGTGTTAGAAAGTGCATGTCATTGCAGCCCCTGCCTGGATATCCTGCACCTGAGCAAAGCCAGCCCATGTCCTCTAAAGAGATTTGTCTCCAAGTGGCTGTAATCAACTGAGAGGCCCAGAAACACAGGCCCTGTCCCTAGTATAGTCCTGAAAGGTGCTCCTGTCACGGGGTAATAGGTTTTTGGTCTGTCTCTCTCTCTTTTCTAAGGCAGTTTCTCAGCCCTCTCACTTCATGATGTGGTTTCCTGGACCCGCCGATGTCTGATCTGCCTGTTTTCCCATTGAGATGTATCCTGCTAATTAGTCCAACAATCCCCAGTGAGCACCTTGTGCCAACTCAGTGCACCGCCGCACCTACGCCAACCCGGGAAACGGAAGAAGCCAGATGACTGCACCCTCCAGTCACGGCCCTGCAGGGGACTTCTCTGGAACTCGGCTTGCCTCTTACATCTCCTCCTTTTGGCCTGGATCAAAGGATGCTGCAACAGTGCATGAAAAAAGCAGCCAACAAGGAGAAGGCCATCTCGGAGGGGAAGTACCGTGTGGCACTTTCCCACCTATCCTGGAACAAAGCAAAACCACTTACTTAGCAGCCAGCAACTCTCCCCCTTCCCAGCCAGCTTTGAGTCCTAACAGACGGGCGAGTGAAGTAGCCCTGGAGATGCTTAGAAGCACTTGCTTGGAACAGGGGCTCTCTGCTGTTGCCCGGCTGGCGTGCAGCCATCCCAGGAACCAGGCTGTGATTTTTGGAGGGCCGTGCAGCTGTGAAGACCTCGGGACTGAACCACTGCCGTGCGCTCCTCAATCTGGCGCATCGAATCCAGGCATGAGCTGTCACTGCAGCGCTCACTTGAGAAGCTGCCGCCGTCAAGGCTTTGGCAGGCATCCCAGGTCCTCTCACAATCCAGTGGCAGCTTTGCAAACAGCCTCGCTATAAAGGAGTGTGGGACAAAGTCTGGCTCAGACCGTCAGCCTGCATGAGAGTTCAGCCTCCGTGGAGCAGGTGTTGTGCCCATGCAGGGGCTGCTTGGCTGGATTTGAACCTGCAGCCAGGGGAGAAAACTAGCAGGAGAACTGGGAGGCATGTGCATATCCTCAGGGAATAGGGAGAAATAGGATGCCATGGGACTGAGTGTATTAGTTGGGAAAATTGTCCCGGGATCCTGCACTAGGTAGAGCGGCCGTGATCTCTGGTGGCGCTGGCAGTCACAACTCTGCCTCCGTCGCTGTGTAACCTGAAGCATGTAGCTAAGAGCTTGCTCTGCAGAGCCTAGAGCTCAGGTTGAAGCCCCTGAGACATGCTGGCACTCGCACCTCCATCCACCCAGCCCTTAAACTGCCACTCATCATACTGACCTGACCCTCGCAGGACTCGTGAGGCTCAATAACTGAATGCATGTAACATGCTTTGTACCCCAGGGCTAGACGGTGTGGTCTCTGGAGCAGGGCACCGTGCCCATATGGAAAAGTGTCCACGCAGAGAGATTTGTGGCCTCTGAGCTGCCTTTTTGTCTCAGGCGCCTGCCCGTCTGTTCCACCACCTGGATTGTGAAGGGGTGGCAGACGGCAGCTCGGGAACAGCGTTTATGTGCTGGAACTGCCACACCAGCCAAGAACAAAGGGTGCAGAGAGCCCCAGCCCCCTCCTGCTCCCTGCCCATACACACACGCATGCTCTGCTACGTAGCTCCACCAGATAAACCGGCCCACCTTGCACAGTGCTGCCAAAGTGTGAAGTCCCCAGGGAAACTTCGTAGTTTCCCTCCAGGCTTGCTGTCATCTGCAGAGGGGGCCTGTGCTCTCGGTCACCTTTCGCCTCAAGCACAGAATATCACCGGTGGGTTTGAGCTCTTCATTTTTGCCCTGCAGCGGTGGGGGTCCTCTTTCGGTTATTTTCTTGTTTGCCTTTGTGCCAAGGAGACCGCTCCACCATCCCCATGACACCAGGGACTGAATTTCTAGCTGCTGTCTTATTCAGAGGGTCCCAGGGCTGGAACCCAGTCTGAACAAGGAAAGATGTCACAGATAAGAGCTCAAGACTGTATAGTCATGGAAAAGAAAGACAAAGGAATAGGATAAATAGCAGCGGGGCTTGTGATGTGCCTGGAACGAAGCTGGATAAAGCGAGACAGTGGGAGGTGGGTTTGTCCCCAGCCCAGGCCCTGATGCGCTGTCAGAAGTTTGCCAGCTCTCTGCAACCTCGCTGTTCCCTTCTCTGCAGCCCGTCTCCCAGGGCTGCTGCAAGTGTTAAGTCATGTGTGCAACCTCCTGAGTTAGTTTGGTGGAAACCGTTACTAAAGATCCTAGCACAAGGACCCTCGGCGCTCAGTGTTACTCACCAAACCAGCGTTCTCTCCGATACAGCCTTGTTCCTTCCCGTCAACTCTAAGCTTTCCCAGGCTATTCCTGTGCTCCCATTCCCAGTCATCTCCAGCAAGACCTTTGATAATTGCTCTCATCCACTCAGTTTCCGCTGCAGTACATTCCCCTAAGGTCTCTGGTTACTGAAACGCCCCACCTCACTTGGCCTTTTCTTTCTGAACTGGCTCCAGCATCCCAAAGTCCCGCAGGGATGGCAGAAAGGAGGGGAGGAACACCGTGTTGCAAACGCGTATCGTTCTGAAAACACAACGAAGTCCCAGGGACTGTGACCGAAAACTGGCTAAAGAGAGAGCATTGGCTTCCTGTTGGCCCTGAAGTTTCTGAACCTCGTCTACACCTCTGCGAGACGGTTGGACTTCTTGGCTTTTGCACATCTGCAGAGTTGCGCAGCTCGCTCTGTAATTCCCCCCCAACCCCAAAAGAGAATTAAACCTGGGTTTTTTTAATCGCAGGTTTGTCTGCATCCACTCTGTTTTACAGTTGCACTGTTTACGTTTCTTAGTTTCGAAGCCATTAAGCGGTGGGGTTTGTTTGCTTTCTCAACCACCTTATTTATAAACACTTGGGCATAGTATTTTATTTTTAGCTAAGTTTCCACATCCCCTTCACAGTTAATGTTTACAGACGGAGGCTAAATGGCCCAGTACCCATAGCAACCAATGAGGAGCTATATTACATTATTCAGACAATTTATGTCAGAGTCGCTAGTTCTGGCCTAAAGTAACCGATATAAATAAACTCCTCGTTGCTGATGGGCAGTGAGTGTTTTCAAAGGAAAATAATCTTTTCCTAAGAAGTAAGCATCTGACTGAAATTAGCTTACAGCTGAATCTTGCCCTTCTCTGGGCCCATAAATCATCAGCCGTTTCGGGGTAGTGAGAACTTGCTTGCAATTCTAAAACTTAAGCACGAGTGACCCAGTTTTGTCCTGAGACTAAGATACCGGAACCAGGACTGCGTGCATCTGCCCGGCACTACATAACACCTTGCAGCCTTGATGCTGATCTGCGCCTTGGGGCATTGTCTCAGCACAAAAAATATGCAGATCTTCCCATTAAATAGTGGACAGTGGAGTGGGTTAGAGAGGGGTCAGGTGGGACTGAAGCCAATGGAGATGTGTACTCAGGAAGCCATGCTGGAGTTTGCTTCTGGCTCAAAGATGAAGCAGCAGCACCGAGGAAAGCCACAACTGCACTCGCAGAACGTGCAGCTCTGTTTGGGCCCCACCATAATATCCCGGTGAGACCACACTTTCTGCCCAGCCCCTTACAGAGAGCGGCCTGGAAAAGCTCAGCTCCTGGCATCTGGCTGGGGCCCATTTACAAGCTGTTTCAGAAACTTTTCCAGAGTTTTCCCCAGCACTCATGTGAGTCTTTCCACTGCTGCCGGAAAGCTTGACTCCATCCATCTCTGACTTATCACCCCTGGCCGGGAGGCAGCCTTAGATACTCGTTGCATTTAAACATAACCCAGATGTGAGAGAGACCCTTTGGTGATGGGATGAATGACAGCCGGGTGGGTTGCCCCACAGATCTGGGATCCAGTTTTTAAAAGCATGAGCTGCTTCCGTTTCCTCACTGGTGACACCCCTTCTCCCCTCCGTCTACCACAAGAGAAGGTCACATCTCTGCTGCCTGGTTTGGCGGCCCAGGATGCCTGGTTCCCACAGCACCTTCCCTCTTTCTCCTGGGACTGGGGGTGCAGGGTGCCCCATTAGCTGGCTGTAGGACATTGGTGCCCCAGAGGCACTAGCTAGGTGGGTGGGAGAGAAACCATGATCCCCTGGGTAAAGGAGCAGAGAAACCACCCTCTGTGGGGTAAGGAGATGCCAGCTTCATTAGTGACTGTCACGGAGAGTGAAGAGCCCCATCCCCAGGCACCTGCCGTCTCCCCCTAAAGACCATCCCAGGCCAGGCTGGCATGTAGCCCCCGGGGAGGGGAGCTTTGCACACATGCTAGGATCACTTAGACATTTTCATCTGCTCTTGGGCACTTGTAACAACAGCATGTTACCACCCCAGATCCAGCCTGGATCCATCCCCATTGCATCCCTTTTGCTCTATAGAGCTGAAAACAGTGCATAATGCAAAGGCGCTAATCCCTGGGGTGGAGCCCTTCCAAACTGAGCACCATGGTCTGCCCCCAGGACCTCTCCTCTGACAGGAGAAGTGGTCCTGGGGGAGCAGTTCTCCCCAAGCTGGACCACTGGAGCTTTGGGTGGGGAAGAGGCAGAGGAGTCACTATCCTAGGGCTGTGAAACCAAGCTGCATTTTAGCCCGAGGCCTCCATGGAGACTAGTAGTAAGCAAAGGGATGCTTCCTCACTGCCCTCCTCCAGGCAGTTGGGTGCTCCCCCTGCATGCATTTCTTCTCAGACCCAGGTAGAGAACGCCATGGAGCTCGGGCAGCTTAGCCCCTGCAGCTCTACATGCCACCCCTTCCAGGCATCTGACATCTGCTGAGCAGCAGGGGGGAAAAACACCCCCACACTCTTGTTTCTCCCTCCTTAATGTGGCTAGGGTGAATTAAGTTCTGCTGCGATCCCAGGCAGCAAGGTAGTAGCCCACAGGTGTGGGCAGTTGCTGATGCACTCAGCGGTTGGCTGCCACCCCCATCCCTGGGCCCACACACCTGCAGGCTATAAAGAGGAGGCTTGGCAGGGGCTTGTGCTTGGCTGCAAAGGGATGTGCTGGCTAGGAAAAGGTTGGGTTGGAAACTGCTGGGGCCTGGTTTGCTCTGTGTAAGACCAGGGAGCTTTGTGCACAGGGACCTTACGGATAAGGGATGAATGAGTAGTGCAGACTCTGAAAGCAAAGGAACAGAGCAGGGCTCTTGAAGCTGGGCTGCTTCCCTCACCCATGCATGAGACCTTTGCTTGCACCCCAGCTGAGGGAACGGGGCACTCAGCTGAGTGGGTGCCATGGCAGCTGAGGGGGGTAGAGCTCTGGGAAGTGGGGAAATGAGCAGGAGAAACTGGAGCTTTCTTGCATGAACCAAGGGAGGAGCAGATGAAGTTGCCCCTGAGTCCTGCAGCATGGCAGGAGCTGGCTTCAGGGGGAAATGGAAAGCCTGGGTTGTAAGAAGGGAAGGGTGAGGGAATTGTCTAGCAAGCTCCATGCATCTCAGGCATGGTCACAGGCACCACTTTCCCCCAGTCCCCTTCTAGCTATTCCGGCACAAAAGGCCCCAGAGATACCTGCAGGTGGTTACCCAGTGCTGGGTTATATCTCTATCACAGGGAGGTCAGTGATGCAAAACTTGGGGGCATCTGAACCCCAAACCTCTGGGCTTGGGCCTGCATGTAGGATGCCTGCCAAAGGATTTAGAAGCATCTGAAGCCCCAGGGGTCTGCACTGTTCCTGTAGGACCAGGGCACATCACTTCCAATGCTCCCGATGCTGAAATATTCAGCTGCTCTGGGTAATGGGCAGACAACAGGCTCAGGGGTGGATTCAGAATAGAGTTCCTCGCTCCCTGCTCTGATCTTGGCCCCATTCTTGATTCCAGTTCACAGCCAGGAGCTTGAATGTTTTAGTTTCACTTCAAGTTTACAAATAAGGTTAATAGTGATTTGAAGAGGAACCAAAATCCAAATATTTGGAACATTTTGGACCTGAATCAGAACCACCCTTGGGTGGGGTTTTACAAACGACTTCCTTTTTGGATTAACACATTTTGAGCGTGAGGGGAAAGGACCTCTTCCCCCTTAAGTTTCTGAGCCCTCGTGCTACAATATTGCTCTTACACTACCACATTTTATGTCAAATTCCATCTTTCCATAGCAGTCATGCGCCCCAAACCCCCCAAAGCGATGGGAGGGGAGGCACAAGGGTTTTTCTAGTGCTATGCAGAACATGCCCCAGTTCTATTAGTCTCCTTTTGGCCGTGGGCACGTGTCCGTGCGTCACCGTGTTTGGAACTGGTTTTGCCTACCACGACTCCCGATGTTGCACATCCTTTGATAAGTCGTAGCCACTGCTTTAGTCCCTGAAAAGCATGAGAGCCTGAAGGCGATAGCTGCACACATTCTGATGAGGATCCACGTTTGCCCTGCATCTGTCTTGTTTCGTGCAGCTTATAGATTCAATTTCTGGCAGTCCTCCCACTGCAAACACAATGTGGGCTAAAGTGCAACACCGCTTACCTCGAAGGCCCCGAGGGACGGGCGCAGGTGATGACAAACAAAAGCACCGTTTAGATTTTTTTCCAGTGTTTGATATGTGAGGGAGGATTAAGAGACTGCACTTCACATCTGAGGCGAGGCTTAGTTCCCTTGTAATTACCGAGTGCAGCCGTTCTAAGCCTCTTAACGGACGGGTTGGATACCGCCTCTGTGAGCAGCTCCAGACTCGGCACCAGAAGAAACATCCAGTAGGAGCCAGTGGTTATTTTCTCCATGTCAGCGGGGAATTCAGACTGGGCAAAGCTATAGGAAACCAACTGGAGGAGGACAGCGCTGCAGCAGGCTGGGAATGGACTTGGTGATCTATTAGATCTCAAGAGGGTGTAAAGCCGGGAGGGCCTGCCTTGGGGGAATGTTCTTGGTTGAGTTGATCCTGGCTTGGGCAGGGGATTGCACTAAATAACTTCTCAAGGTCCCTTCCCATCCTGTTCTCTATGATCATCCCCTCCGCCCTGCCCTCCCACCGCATTTGACTTGTACTGGAGCATTTCACCCAGCAATTGTGTCCAGTACACTTATAGTTATGCTACAGCCTCGCTGGACAGCATCTTATTTCCATTGGAAGGCTTGAAGCCAAGGTGAATCCACTGCCTCCCTTGGCACTAACACTGTTTCAAGGTCCAGGAAGGGTTTGTATGAAAGGATCCTGAATAGATGAAGTTTGGCTGCATTACAGCTGAGCTGATGCCTCCAGCCCAGGGCATGTCCTGCAGGGATATATAGGGTGCACACGCACAGACCTTCAAGGGGAAGAGCTGCAGAAAAGCCAGGACAAGCTATTCCTGCTATGGCCAAGTAATGCACAAGAAAAATCCCTGGCAGCCCGGTGTGAAATAGCAGCAGCTGAGGAACCTGAGGGACTAGCATGTCACAAGAGGTTTATAACTGGAGTGTGGGTCCCAACCAGCTCTGCTGCGCAGTGCCGCGGCCCGCTGCATCTCTGGGGCTGCCAGACCATCCCTGCATCTACTTTTTTAAGAGAAGAATTATTCTGAATCATCAGCTCATGAGATCCAGGCTGGTTTGCTCAGGGTCTTAGCAGGCTGAGTCAGTCCATCCGCACAAGGTCCTGCTCCTGTCTGCACAGTCATCTCTCCTCTGCACCTCCCGTGATATACCAAATCGTGCCTTGGGTGAATGTGTCACTGGAGCGTGCAACGGTCTCTCCCTGCACGCTGCAGGAAGTCGGGTGACGGGCAGTTTCTGCCTGTCCTCTGACAGAAGAAAACACAACTCCCAAGTGGTTTTTAATTCCCGGGTAAGA